CACCGACCGAAGAACTTGGCCATAGCACCCCTAAGCCCCCAACTGACGACACTCAAGCGAGCAAGTGGACTCTAGGGCTATGACCAAGTTAGATGGACGCTCATGGCTCTTGGCTCGGGGCCCATGGCCCACCACCCAGTTGAATCCGACTGATGGAACACTCAGGCAAGAACTCTGGTGAATGGAGCTGGCACCCCTATTGCAAAGCCAAACGCTTGGGCTTAGGAAAACGATCACCATCACCCGACTAGACGTAGTGCTAGTATAAATTCTAAGTCACCAAATGCTAAGCAATGATCTTAACGAAACATGCAAATACAAATTTACTGGTCGGCAGTATGAAAAACCAACAAGGTGAGCCAGGTAAGGGTTGTCACATGTTTCTCGATGTCTTCAAGCTTCGGATGGCTTCCTTCGCTACTCGTCGGCAGCTATGTTCTAGGCGGATGCATCCGATTTGAGAGCCTCGAGTTCATTGTCGGCATCCGGAGCAAACCCCGAACGACTTTTTTTTTTGAGTTGGGGGACCTATATGTCACATGGAACTAAGTTTAGGGATCTCTTGCTAAGTTCGAGGACCGCTCATGAATCTTAGAGAGATATATACTTTTACCGTGCCTGAGACTTGTGTGAATTGTCCGTCCCATAAATTCTGATGATTTAGAACTAAAGGTACTTTTATTATTTTCACAATGCATCCTTTTTATTCTCATTTTTCATCACATGTTTTGTTTTTATGCCCAAACAAAATATTTTCTAGCCTTGGTGTTATTAGCCTTGTTCTATTTATTTTTCTGCATCAAATGAGGCCTCATTCTAGTTGGTATTCAAAAATAATATTAAGAAAGCATCAATGAAGAACGAATTTTAGAGTAGAAATGTTGAATAACATAGTATCAAAACAAGCATTGATGCTTTCTTAAACCTGTGCGCCCTGATAAAGAAATCATATAATCGTCGACGCCAAAACGGCCAGAGACTGAGAAGTACCTCCATATCTTCCTGCGGAGATGAAATCCGATTGTTACGGACCCTGACGGAATCACCTGATTGTTGGCAGGATGATTCACCGCAGCGGGCGGACGATCTTTTCACTTTCTTCACCTGTCCCCTCATGGATCAAAGAGCACGTATACTGGACTAGCGGATCTGCGGACCTAGGAACCCTAATCGTTTTAGATCAAACGAAGGGGACAACTGCTGCGTTCGAACTTGGAAGAGTAGCAAACAGGAATGCGGCCGTGAAGAAGGAGAAGTAAACCCAAGATAGAACAGTGAATGCCAAGAGCGAACGTGAGGGAACAGTTGAAATAAATGAGGATAGGATGGGTGAAGGAAAACAACATAGCATGTTCGCTCGTTGTTTTCAGCGAGAACTTATTAGTTATGGTATAATATTTTTCTCTTACGATAAACTAGCACCAGTCGGGCTTATCAGTCCAGAAACCAACCAGCGAACAGACTGATAGCCGAAACATACGACATAGTAATCACTGCTACAGATATCTTAATGGAGGCATGCAAAAACAATTAATGGAGGTGGGCAACTCAACCGCCTCTAATAAAAAACCTCGGTAAATCACGAACTACCAAGACGGTTGGTATGTCCGCCTCCATTAATCAATAAAAAAAACCAAAAAAAATATCCAGCAAGCACGTCGATGAGGCCCGCTGAGCCCATCGACGAGTCCGCCGAGCCCATCCGCGCGTGTGCCGCCGCCACCCACCGGATTCGCGCGTGCGCCGCCGCCGCCACACCAGTGCCTGAGCCAGATCCGCCTCACCAGTGCCTAATCTGCCGCCACCGAGCCGGATCCGTCACGCCCGTACCCGATCCAGCGCCGAAGGGAGGAGAGAGAGGGTGCCACCAGCGTCGAAGGCAGGAGAGAGAGCACCGCCGCCGCCGAAGCCTCGCCCCGATCCGGATCCGTCGCGTCGCTCATGAGCCGCATCCGTCACAACGCCCACGAGCCGGATCCGCCACGCCGCTCGGATCTGAGCGTAGGAGAGGAGAGGGAACCGGATCTGGGCTTTGCCCGCGAGGCCGCCGAGCCGCGCCGCCACTGAGATCCACGCCGCCACCGCCGCTGTGGGGGAGAGAGAGGGAGGCTGGTTGAGCCCATCGACGAGCCCGTTGAGCCCATCAGCACGTGTGCTGCCGCCGCCACACCAGTGCCTGAGCCGGATCCGCCTCACCAGTGCCTAATCTGTAGCCACCGAGCCGGATTCGTCGTGCCCGTGCCTGATTCGGCGCCGAAGGGAGGAGAGAGAGGGCGTCGTCGGCGTCGAAAGCAGGAGAGAGAGCACTGCCGCCGCCGAAGCCTCGCCCCGATCCAGAACCGTCGTGCCACCCACGAGCCACATCCGTCACGGCGCCCACGAGCCGGATTCGCCGCGCCGCCTAGATCTGAGCGTTGGAGAGAAGGAGCCAGATCTGGGTTGTGCCCGCAAGGCCGCCGAGCTCGCGCCGCCACTAAGATCCACGCCGCCGCCGCCGCAGTGGGGGAGAGAGAGGGGTGCGGTCGTAGGAGGCGACGCTAGGGGAGAGGGAGGGCGCGGGGGATGGAGAGGGTGCGGGGGAGAGGGAGGGGGCTGAGGTGCCACCGCGCGTCCTGCCGCCACCTCCTGGCCCGCCACCGCCTGCGGAGGTAGGAGGAGGAGAGGGAGAAGGAGGAGAGGGAGTGGGCCCTAGGAGGGAGTCGGAGGGGGCAGCGTCGCTCTTGGCTTAGGAGGGAGAGGGAGAGGAAGAGAGGGGTGTGCTCGGTTGAGTGAGTGAAGGAAGAAACCCTATCTTCGTCTATTTATATCGAAGACGGCTATCGGGCCTCGCCTGGGCCTATTGGGCCTCGGCCTTTTTCGGAGACGGGCCTTATAGTGTGCCCGCCTCCAAAAATTGATTTATGGAGGCGGGCACCTTAAGATGACCGCCTCCAAAAATAGGCTATTTTTTTTGTCTTAAGGCGTCCGCCTCCGTAAATCGATTTTAGGAGGCGGTTTGATTTTGACTGCCTTCGTAAATCGATTTTACGAGGCGGGCAAACGTGACCACCTCGGTATATAAAAATGACCGCCTCCGTTAATAGCCCAGTATTTTAGGAGACAGTTGGATTTTGTGTCCACCTCTATTAATGTTTAGGCACCGTCTCCTAAAATTATTCGTGCAGTAGTGAATGACGACCCCTCCGACCCATTATACAATCATTTATGCATACTTAAGATAGCAAAGAGAGCGGGGACAGAAGTCAACGACACGAATCTCAGAACGCATCCATCGATAATTGAAAGGGGGGACATATCAGCCCCGGGGTATAACAACATTTTTGTCGTCGAGGAGCCGCAAGCCGTCACCGTCGAGGATGCGCAAGCCGTTCGTCGAGGAGCAGGAGCCTCATGCCGTCGTCATCGAGCCGCTAGAGGAGATCGTCGTTGTCGAAATGAAGAAGCCGCAGTCCATCGTCGTCTTGCCGGTCGATCCGTCGTCCCGGCTGTGGAGTCTGCCGAGCCAGCTGACGGCGGCGACCAGGTGGTGCCGGAGAGCGTCATGTTGGCTCCGGCTGTGGAGTCCAACGACGAGCCAGACAGGGGCGAAGCTGTATTTGTGACTAGAGGTGCGTAAGCACCCCAAAATTTCAAAAATAAGTTATAATGACCAAATTTTCACCATATATGCACCCTCTATAATAAAAGTCTATGCACCTGCGAGGGAATTCAATTTCCTCTAGCTTCGTCACCGAGGATCATGGAAGTTGGAAAAATTCGATCCAGTCCAGCCAGGATGCATATATGAGGAACGATAAGCTACGTCCTGTCAGTGAAGCAAGATTAGCACACGCGCAGAGAGAGAGAGAGAGAGAGAATAGTAGAGGCCAGCTGGGAGAGAGATCAATAAGCAAGCGTACATGATCGATGATACGAGTACGATAGCATGGACGTGGCGAGGATCGCATCGTAGCGTATTTAAGGGAGAGAGCGCCTCATCACCGGCTCAATTGGCTTTCTTGGGAAGAGTGTTATATGCCGTCTCTCCTGCAAACTAATTAAAAGGAGTAGCTAGCTAGTGTAGCTTTGCATCGTGTTATTGAGTTTATTATCTTGTGTTTTCATTTACATGTGCATACATATAAGTGACTTTGTACACGCATGCATGCATGCAGTTCTTGTGGAGAAGGGGGATGAAAACGATCGGAAACAATCCATAGGAGGCCAAATCACTTCCATTTTCATGCATGCATGCCGTGCTAGATAGTTCAGCAGAGAGTTCCAATGCAGCCTTGCTTTTAGGGCGATAAGAAAGAAATAAATTAAGAAACGGGGCAGCAGAAATTTCAGCAATGAAAGCATGAAGGAACAATAAAATCATTTATAAACTCGTCAGCAGTTGATGAAAACGAGGAAAGAAATGATAAGATCCTGATAGCATTGGGCAGCTGGAATCAAACAGCCTGTTCGGGAGGCCGTATCTTATCGTGGATTATTTACTGCTGCCTGGTTTGGTGTGAGAGAAAAAACATTGTTCGGCTGAAATTTTTTACGATTATTTACTGGCTTAGCAAGAGAAAAGGCATTGTTGCTGAAAAACCAGACATCATGCACACAGTTCACACAGTTCACCGGGTTTTTTTTTTTGGGGGGGTTGTCCCATATCAGTTTTCCATCTTTCATACCAGAAGTGTTTAGATAGTTTTGGAACTGGCTGACCATCACATCAAGGAGAAATATTGGGCGAACCCATGCTACAATAATGTTTCCGCAGCATACTCCAATACTACATGCAGAGAAACTCAACCACAGATGCATATAAGTTGTTTCAAACACCTTCGTGCTCAAAAGGTACAGTCTACTCATCAGGTAGGTTTTCAGGTCAGGCGGATCGAGAGACGAGAGTCATACAGGCCGGAACTAGCTGTATCTTTCATCTTTTCCCAAAGGTCCGCGCAACTTACATGAACGGGACCATTATTAAGCCTAAACCAACATTCGAGTTACATCTGGACGATGCTTCAATCTTTGACGATGGCTCGCAAGATTTTCACTTCATGGATAGGCCTGAAACCAACAAAGGTAAGAAAGTTCAGCAGACGTAAACAGGGATCGGATTCAGACATCATAGACCAAAACATGAGGTTTTCACTATGTGACCAAAAAAAGGAGGAACATGGTATTCCTGAAAACAGGGATATAGTTTGCCTACTATATAGACTAGTGTCTAATCATCATGCATCACACAATACATCCAATGCAACTTCCAAATCAATGGTTGTAAGGGTGCAATGCAGGCATATCTTCTTCTTCAGTAAGAAATCAATTGTGCCATAGTGCTCATTCAAATACACAGGCAAAAACAAACACATATCATGAAACTTGTCATGCACAGTTGCACACTATATGCTGTGACCTGCGATGCACCTATGCCAATGCCCTAAGTAAAACCTTATCTTCAGTAGAGATCAGATGCAAAGTTTACCTGTCATTTTTGTCAGTCTGCACACTACCAAGGCGCTTAACAATTTCCATTCCTCTGCATACCCTCCCAAAAATTGTATGTTTCCCTGGAACATTACATCATGTTAATTGTATGAAACTGTAAGCATAGTAAATGAAGAAAAGTTCATCCCAAATGCCATTTATCTATCCACCAATTCAGATTTGACAATTGACATTTCAAGAGGGAAGAGCTACTAACGTTGAATATATCAGATGAAAAAAGTAGTGGGAAGTAAAAAAAACAGTTAAGTAGTCATCACGATCTCTAGACTGTTTGTATTAAGCACCGATGACTTATGTCTTTCAAAACTTTTAAATTTAATTAACTCAGTTTTAGTCAACATTGCTTCTCTATAGTTTATCAGCTTTCTTTATGGTCCCATTTTATTAGAAAGGACCAAAATAGTGAAATGTCTTTTTTTTTACAGCTCATATGCACACACCACCAAAAAAATATATATACTTAATCAGTTAGTCACCATGTTTTTCAGCACGCAAGTGAAAAGGTTGACACAGGTCAAAGAAATCAGACAAGAAAAAAGCAGACACCTATCCTTACCATCAAGTGACTGACAAGGCGCAAGAGTTATGAAGAACTGGCTTCCATTCGTATTTGGACCAGCGTTCGCCATGGACAGAATTCCAGCCCCAGTGTGCTTCAACTCTGACTTTATCTCATCCTCAAACTTTGCTCTGCAAAGAAAGCAACAGCAACAAGAGCACCAATTTTAGACAGGATCACAAGTTCACAACTAAAGAGAAAGAATAGCAGAGACAGTTTCATCTTACAGCTGGCCCTAGAAAAGAAACATCTTACCAGCTATCTAGCAAATTAGCTTTTGACCAAACTAGCAGCCAAAAAACAGTAGTATTAGTTAATCTTTCCCAACACAAGGTATGCTAATGCTCCACCTATTGCTGTTGTAAGATAGCATTCACTCGACTAATGTGACGATGCAATCGTTAATCGAAAACTAACACACATAGATAGCACGGCAAAAATCAGTGGGAATATGGCCACTGAAATGTTGTACAAAAAGAGTAACTAATCCTTCCCAACACTATGCTTTATACTCCATCGAATACTGGGTATACACATCTATTGTTGCTGCAGGCTAGCATTCAAAATCAACAATGCAAACAACATAGTCGTTGATTCAAGAACAAATCAAGGGGAGTGAACAGACTGCTCACCCATATATGGACTCGCCACCTCTGCCGGTTCCAGTAGGATCCCCACCTTGCACAATGAAATCCTAAGCAGGCACAAGAACAGCACCCACTCAATAAGTAACCAAGATCAGACAACACAAGCAGGAAGAAACTCAGGAGATACCTTGATGATGCGGTGGAAGATGACGTTGTCGTAGTAGCCGCGACGCGCTAGCTCGACGAAGTTCCGGCAAGTCTTGGGCGCGTGCCTGTAGTACATCTACGGATCGAGTAGGACCATCAGCATCAATCAATCATGAAGTAGAAGCGAAGGGCCCAGCGCAAAGGGAGAGGTGGAAAGAGAGGGGATGCAGCCGAGGGGAGAGCGGGGAGGTACCTCGACAGTGACGGCGCCCATGGAGGTCTCGAGGGCGACCTCCGGCGTCCCGCCGTCGGTGCTACCCCACATGCTGGGCAGGGCCCTGTCACGGCAAGGTGGTCGGCGGCGGCGGCGGGTGGAAAGCGGAGGGGACGGGAGACGAGAAGCGAGGCGGGTTCGTCTAGAAGGCAGAGGAGAGTACAGGGGGCTTTGGAGATATTTCGCGGACATTACAGAAACAACCCTGAAGTTGTGCTGTTCTTATATCCACCACTTGCCGTTTTCTAATATCTACTCCATGCATTCCAAACTATAAATTTGTTTCAGATTTGATTAGGATTATAGAAAAAATACATAAACATCATGTGTCTGTTGGGTAGAGTTTCACTCCCTAATTCTTAGCTCCAGCTCCTTGATTCTCTAATGAAGTGATTCTGGTGAGAGAGCATATGCATGTGGAAAACTAATTTTAAATTGATTTTGGTAGTGATTGAATATGGAGTGGTGAGGAGTGATTTTTTCTAGCTTCTAGTGAAAATAAAGAAGTAATTCTTGTTTGATCCCGCCAGAATTTGTGCATATTTTTGTTGTGTGATTGAGGAGGAATGATTCTCACGGAGAGCTGCTCCAAGAAATGTTGTCAAATGACACCTGTAACATCGAACAAAATTCGTTAGACAAAATACGAAATATATTTTGATAATGCATTTTTTTGATATTATATATGTTAAAGTTTTTTTATAAACTAAATCTAAGTTAGACAAAAATAACTTAAGACTATATTGTGTGGTGCACGAACAAAAAGTGCGCATAAATTATCCAATTTCATTTTGCAGTAAATTTCATATAACTCAGTTTGCTATACATTACATAGTTTTTGAACTCCAAATTACATTGAATCAATCTACAAACCTCGCCTCTTTTTTCCTATATATGACTTGCCTCACAAGCTTGCCCTCGCGACACAGTGCTATCTTGGGGTATCCCCTACTCCTCTACCGTCTCATTAAAACTCTAGATAGAGAGCTCATGGTCGCAAACCCGCTTGCACTTTGACTTTTTTGGCCTCTGGAACTTTGGATTCTTTACTTTGCTCATGTCCCTAGTTTCTTATAGAGTGGTTCATTCGTTGGTAGAGTAACTTGTTAAAATATCTTAATATGGCTAGAGGGGGAGTGAATAGCTTATTTAAAAATCTATAAATTAACTAGAGCAATTTGATTAGTATGACAAATAGCGAAATACAAACTTGCTCTAGCTCTACAAGGGTTGCAAGCCACCTATTCAATAATTCTAGTTACTATAATCACTAGGTACATAAATGGCTAAGACACTACTCACTAAGAGCCCTCAAACTTGCTACACTAAAGAGCTCCACTAGATGAACTTAAGCTATAAAGCAAGCTCTCAAATCTAGCTACACTAAAGAGCTTGCTATAACTAGTTTGCGGGAATATAAATGAGAGAGTAGGGTGAATATACCGCCACGTAGAGGAGTGAACCAATCACAAGATGTATATCAATTCAATCACCGGGAGAATACCAAAGGGCAAGAGACAACCAATTTTTCTTTCGAGGTTCACGTGCTTGCCGGCACGCTAGTCCCCATTGTGTCGACCAACACTTGGTGGTTCGACGGCTAAGAGGTGTTGCACGAACCTCGTCCACATAATTGGACACTGTAAGAACCTACCCATAAGTGAGGTAACTCAATGACATGAGCAATCCACTAGAGTTACCTTTTGGCTCTGCGCCGAGGAAGGTACAAGACCCCTCACAATCACCGAAGCCGGCCACGAACAATCACCAACTTGTGCCGAAGCTCCTCCGCTGCTCTAAGCCATCTAGGTGACGACAATCACCAAGAGAAACAAGAAATCCGCAGCCACAACGATTCCCAAGTGCCACTAGATGCAATCACTCAAGCAAATGCACTTGGAATCACTCCCAATCTCACTATAATGAAGAATCAATGACGGAGATGAGTAGGAGGTGTTTGCTTAGGCTCACGAGGATGTCAAGTATGTTAAAATGCCAAGAGAGGGAGCCCCAAGCTAGTACCTTCCTATTTATAGAGTCCTAAGACTCAAAGAGCCGTTGGGCACTTTCGAGCTGACCAGATGTGCCCCTACGTCTGGTCGGCCAGCGTCCGGTTGCCTATGGCCTTCCACGTGTCCCCGTTTGAATCCGAGCCGCTCGATCTCAACGGTCACTAGCCGATCACTCGATCAGTTAAGTTATGACCAGACGCACCTGAGCAATGACCAGACTTGGTGCCACTCAGGATCCCGTCGTTTCTAGTAAGCTCCCTGAGGCGATTTCTATTGATCGGACACGTCCGGTCATAGAGGACCTGACGTGCCCATGCGTCTGATCAGCGCACGACTTCTTCCCACGCGCGCAAACCAAGATGTCATCACCGTACGTCACCCTTCACCTGACGCACGCCCTGCGTGTCCGATCGCGCCACCGCGCCGCCTTCCAAAGATTGACCGAACGCGCCGGTGCACTTGGCCCCAACGTCCGATCGCTTCTCCTCAGTCTCGGCCGGACAGCGCGTCACAACTATAATTGATCGGACACGCCGGGGTGAGTCAGGTCACCCCGTAGCCAGCGTCCGGTCATGGACTTTCTCTCATTTCTCTTTTTCTAAATCAGCAACCACTTCACCCTTGCTTCTATGTTGCTAACCACAAACTGTAGAAATTGTGTGCATGTGTGTTAGCATTATTTCAAAGCATTTTACAAGGGTCAAGGTTAGTACACTAGGTTTCTAAATACATGTGCAAGAATCATGTCACCTAGTGGCACTCGATGAACCATTTAGCCAAATATTTCCCCTCTTTATTATGGCAGATCCGCCTAATCTAATGCCTCCCAGGAGTACTTGTTTTCTATTAGACACTAAGTACCTAAGAGAGGACACTAAACTACGTAGTTCCGTCGAACACACCCCAAGGGAGAACTCGAAAATCTATATTTTTTCATTAGGATCATAAATGAGAGAACAAAGCTTACAACATTCTTAAGTCATTTCTTACCTCACTTTGTTACAGTAGCCGAATATTACCTCAATTGATTATGACAGCAGAATATAACAATGTTATCAGAGTTACAGAGGAAGCAAGGAATAATTTAATGACATGGTGAGCATTAACATAGTGGACATTTTTATACCAGAGATGCTAGCATATTTTATATATTTTCTTATAAAAACCTTTAGTGAGGGTTATAAATAAACACTACGATCGTAGCGTGAAAGAAAACCTCTCTAAGCCCACCAGGAGGTTTCCACACATAGGAGTCAGCTCTATGTATCCTCCGATCACCTGCAACAGGGGGAATAAAACCCTGAGTACTTGATTGTACTCAACAAAACTTATCCGATAGGAGAAAGAAAAGACTCCAAGGATATGCAAGGCTTAGTTGGCTTGTGGGTTATTGTATCTGTGGAAGCATTACTAAACATGCGTCCTTATATTCAATTTTATTAGCAGTCATCATTAGTTCATTACTAACCATTCTATGTAAGCACCTATGCTACTTTCAAGCAGGTGGTGAGCAATCAGAACTATTTTACCATCTTTCATAGTTCTAGATCATACTACGGTGCTAGACCATAGCCAAGTCGTACCGTCTCACAGAAATGGTGATTTGAGAACCAATGTATCCCTAGTGGGTACCCCAAAACACATGTCCCGTTTGTACCCCAGGCACAAATAAGACCAACCCATTCCACTCATGTCAAGGAGTCTAGGTCCCCGTCTAAATTTGGACTCCAAGCCCCCACACTTGAGACCCGGTCTCAGTATAGTGCTTAGACCTCCACCTTTCCCCGCCTCCAATCAGTCTGTCCGGAAAGAGCCAAAACCCACGATAAGAGCATAACAAGCCTTCCCGCTCCCATAAGCAAGTATGTGCTCAGGATAATAAGTCTGTGACCTGACTACCATCCACAGCAACGGATAGTCCTCAATCGACATAGGCGGAACACGTGCAATCCGAGCCTCGCTCGAATGCCTAACCAAGTTCAGATCCAAAGTACCATTCCACCCGGTCTCCAATTATACTCCATATATATTCTATGTGATAGTAATATAGTAACAACAATAATATCTTTCCTATCTCTCGTGAGTGATAGGTAATCACTCGACTTCTATCGAGCCCTATAGCATAGCAATCTACATAATCCTAACATACTAGTAGGACTCGTAGGATATATATATATAATAGTCCTACTAGTATATATATATCCTACGAGTCCTACTAGTATGCACCGGGGCTTGCCCGGGCAAGATATAGCCAAAAATTAGCATTCCATTGGTGACACGCTCATCAAAGCACCATCTTTTCCGCTACTTCAGTCAACTCCATTATCCATCGTTGTTCTTATTATGATATATGTGGATGCAACGCAGAGACGCAATTAATCAATGGTAACCGTAACTCTTAAATATATGATTACGCACCGCAAGCTAAAGAGCTAGATTTAATGACTAACATACTAGTCTACGTATCCACATAGTCAAGTAAGGCTTTGCCTTCAGAAAAATGTTTTAGTTCTAAAATCCCAAGGTGTTTCGATATTTTATTGATTAAACATATATTTTTGAACTAGGGCTCATTTAGCTACCTTAGCAAACTAATTGTTATGGAGCTACAAAAATTATATTGAGCACCTAATAATGTTAGGAATTTACTGTGAAAGTTTCAGAGCCAACACTATTACCAATTTATCACAAAAATTCTTTCAAGTTTATATCTTAACAATTTTAAGCATCTCAAATTAATTAGATCACTTTTGAAAATATTATAAAACTATGTGAATAAAATATACCAGCAGATAGATCACGATTTTAGAAATCTAACAAAATTGGTTTCACAATTTTTAGTTAACTACACAATTTTATATTGAATTTACAAGTTTACCTTAGAAACCAAATTAGAAAATACTTAGAAAAGGAAAAGGGACGGTGGCCACCATTCGGCCCAGCAGCCTGACGACCCAGCATAGAGCGCGGCCCACGCGCGAGACGGCCCATGGTGGGGAGCCCGCGCTGGCACTTTAGTGAATGAGCCCTCGGACTTTT